CCCTGCCATCACCGGAAGTGTGTCATAAGGCCACACCCCCTGCCATCACCGGAAGTGTGTCATAAGGCCACACCCACCACTCAGTTAGTCTTAGTCTTAAAGGTTAGTCTTAAAGGTGGTATTTGTTAGTCTTAAAGGTGCTATTTGAACTCTTGGACTATTTTGCAGCAACAGACTAACACAGCTAATTCCTCTGAATGAGGTGGGCAAACGGAGTCCCCCGGCAGACCCTCCGCCACAACAGCAAAGGGCTCCCTGGCCAGCATCAAAGGGCCGCATCCTGTCCCTGACAAGTTACCTGCAAAACAGGGCTGCTCCGCTATCCCTTGTTGACTGCCACGCTTCGTCCAGAGCAGGGAGGACTTGGCTGTCCGCCCATCTGACCCTGCGGCTACAAGCCCCTCCTCGCCCCATAGTACCACAAAAGCCCCAAACTCCGAGCGGCCTCCCAGAGCCGAGCGGCTGCCCTGGGAAAGACCAGGCCCCTGGCATCGTGACCTCAGTTCCTCCGTCTGAGCAATGGGAAGAGCCTTTCTCACCCACAGCACCACAAAGAGAAGCGGGGATCCCCATCCCGCCTCACTGCTCCCCCCACCCCCGTGGACCTCCTAGCACAACACAAGAGAAGCCACGTCGGCAGGCCAGTGGCCCATCCAGTCCAACACTCTGGGTCACACAGTAGCCAAAAATACCAGGGGCCATCAGGAGGTCCAGCAGTGGGGCCAGAACTCCAGAAGCCCTCCCACTATTGCCCCCTCCCCAAGCACACAGAAGACAGGACATCACTGCCCCAGAGAGAGTGTTGCCTCTATACCTCGTGGCTAGTAGCCACTCAAGGACCTCTCCTCCATATAAGAACATAAGAGAAGCCAGTGTTGGATCAGGCCAGTGGCCCACCCAGTCCAACACGCTGGGTCAGGCAGGGGCTAAAACCCAGGTGCCCTCAGATGGAGAGGTGGCTTCCCGATGGGCATTTGAGAAGGTCAGGGAGCCTCAGATGACCAAAGCATCCTCCCAAAGGGCAGAAGGACAGCCCCCTTCTGGTAGCAGCACCCACACCCACACCCACACACACACAACTGACCTTGGCTACCAGGGATCCATCCGGGGCTACCTGGGCTAGGAAGCGCTGGCTGGCTGCTGACCGGGGAAGGGGGCAGCAATGTTGGAGACCCCAGACCTCCGACGGCAGGAGAAGGGGGCGCCACTTAGACACCCCCCCACCCCCGTTGCTTGGCTCCACGTGCACTGAAATGTCCCGGGTCAAACCTACTTTTCGAGGAGGAGGAAGCGAGGGCGAAACATAGAAGGCAAAGCCCTCTGCAGGCGCGGAGCAGTGCTCCCTCTAAGCTGAGTGAGCGTGAGCCAGCTCACCGTTTCTTAAGCCTTCAGTTCACCCATTTCTGCCTCTGCTCGGGAAGGAGGGCTCCAGAGCAGACTGATTTATGCGGCAGCCGAATCCTCAGCTCACAACATGAACGCCAGTGGCTCACCAAGTAGACATTTTGCTCACAGGACTCCACAGCTTAGAAGGGGAGCGCTGGCTGCTGACAGCAGCTCGCGGCCAGAGCGGAGGGGCGGCGACCCCTCTCCCCCTAGCCGCGGCGATTGGAAGCTCCTCCGGGCAGAGACTCCTTTTTTTCTGCGAAGGGCTGAAGCCAGCCCTAACTCCCCCCCAACACACACACTCCGCCCCCATCTGCGGGTCATGTTTGCTCGGAGTGAAAGCCCAGTGTCCTAAACGGTGGATGGGGTTACTTGCGAGCAGATACATTTAGGATTTCAGGCTTACAGTTCAATCCTATGTACGGTTACTCAGAAATTACTCAGCGGGGCGGCTTCTCCCAAGTACCCACGGGATTGCAACCGTGCCTCGAGCGGCGCAGTGATTACACAGGCTTGGCTTCCCTGATGTTTAGCAGAACAAATCCCGGCGTTTGCTTCGCCCATTTGATTCCTAACTAAAAAAAGAAACCACAACCCCCCCCCCCCCCCCCGGCGGTTTTAGAGGCAATTCTTGCAAAGCGACACGGACCCTCCCCTGCACAGAAATTAAACAGGAATCCGCTATGGAAGGAGGATGAGCGAGCAACGGTCTACAAAGAGTGTTTTGTTTTTTTAAGTTTTAAATCGAGATGCAGCTGGAAAAGTTAACTGTGCGCCTTCTCCTCCTCCTCCTCCATCCGGCAACCAGAGAGAAGCTCCCCCTACCTCCCCCGAGGCTCTTCCAGTTACCCATGGCGACGGAAGAGGCGTCGAGAGTTCACCTCCCCCAAAGTTTGCTTCCGATTGCAACAGCACAGGGAAAAGTGAAATCCCGGAGGGCTTCTAGGAACCAAGTCCAAAAGCCAGCGGGCCGGGCCGGCGCTTTCTAGCCCTCGGCTGGCGCCTGGGGGGGAGTCACGTTTTGCATTCCAACGCCCGGTTCTCCGATCACAGCCCCGAGGAGAGAGGCTGCTCTGCTCAGCTTCCAGAGCCCGGGTCCCCTCCCGAGCTACCATCCCGGATTCCTTTGTAGCCCCTCGAGAGGCAGCCGCCGCCGCCAATATTACCTCCTTGCAACCCAGGGGGGAGACGCAAGACCCGGGTCTCCCACGGAGGGTAAGGGCAAAGAGGCTGGAGTTTCCACCGGAATCTCTGGTACTCCAAAAAAGTTCTGAGCGGCAAACGGGGCTGAACAGCGCCGCATTGCTCCGGCCTGCCTACTGCCGGGATGGGGAGGGGAGGGGAAGACCAACACAACCAGGGGTTTGTCCAGCCAGCTGCAGAGCTTCTAGGGCAGCCTGGAGGCGCCGCGACGCTGGAGGGGCTCCCGAGGCGCGCTGCCGGCTCGGCTTCTCCTGCAGAGGCCGGAAGCAGGGGGCGGGGCTTCGTCGTGTGCCCCGCCCCCGCACCTCACCCGGGGGAACGGCGATCCCTGGGATCCCCCCGAAACGATCTCTGGCCGTACTCCTTTTCCTATGCTAAACCAATCATTAATCTGATGCTTAAAATACTGATATTTCCCACTCTATGATTTTTCATCTAGGAGGCCCCTGACAAAATGCATCTGGAGGAATCCATCTGCTAGCCAGATAGAGAGAATCCTCCCCCCACCCCCGACGTGTTCGAAAATTCAAAAATGCACTTTACCTAAAAAACCTGACAGATCAAAATTTCTTTCTAACGGCCGGTTGGCAATTGTCGGTGGAATAGAGTGGTGGTGGGAAAATCCTTCACGGGCTTGCCTGCTAAAACTGGCGTGTTTTACCCGGGCAACCGGCAAGTATGCAAGGAAAGCGGGTAAGTGCTCTGGGAGGGAACGGCACTAAAGCGGGCAGCAGGACGAAGAAGACGCAGCCAGTGCGACCGAGAGGTCAGGTGCACAGAACAAGGCGGGAGCGACTGGAACGCCGAGGGGGAGGCGCCGAGCGAGCATTGCCGGAGTCTGTCTGGTGGGTGAATGGGCGGGCCGGCCGCGAGGCGCGCGGGATTTGAATAACGGATCCCTTGGAGTGGGAATCGCGTGCTGAGCCGCCGAAGAGGGGGCGGGGGCGTCCTCATAAACGCCGAGGGCGGCGAATCAGTGGCAGGAGGGCCGTGGTGTGTCCGAGGGGCTCCAGCGACCTGGTCGGCGTTTCCTTGCCGAGGCAGCGGCAGACCGAGAGAATTCCAGTCTGCGCACAAGCTGTTCCCTCTGCTGAACTCGATGTCGTCTTGAGAATGTCGACGATTCACCCGCCATCGAAGACAGTGTCGGCGACTGAGCATTTCCGCCCAGTAGATTATTTGGTCTTCACGGCCATGTTGGTCATCTCCGCGTTCATCGGCATGTACTACGCCTACAAGGGAGTCCACAAATCCCACAAGGACTACCTGATGGGCGGCCGCCAGCTCACCTGTGTGCCCGTGGCGCTCTCCCTGACGGCCAGCTTCATGTCGGCGGTGACGGTGCTGGGCACCCCAGCCGAGGTCTATCGCTATGGGGCCATGTTCGGTCTCTTTGCGATCTCCTACGTCCTGATGGTGGTTATCACGGCTGAAGTCTACCTGCCCATCTACTACCGGCTGCAGCTCACCAGCGCCTACGAGGTAAGGAGGAGGCTGCTTTCAAGGGTCTCCTCGCTCAGGGTCGTGCGCTCGAGGAGGGCACTTCCACGCCTGTGCTCCGCCTCCCTCAAGAAGCCCGCCCTGGCTCGTAGCCCCAGCCCCTTCCACACGGAAACGGCCCTCGGGCTTTTCGGGGTGGAACGACGGGGGACGGAGCTCCTTTTTACACCCGGCAGCGTTTCACCCTAACCGTAGTGTCGGTTTGACGTTTAAACGGGCGAGTTGCAAAAACCCCGAACGATGTAAGAGAGCAGTCCTAAGGAAAGCCCTGCAGGATTTATCTGTTCCATTTGGTATAGTGTTGTCTTGCTTTTCAGCCCAACATTAGTTTCCGAAGCAGCTCACAGCAAATACACTCATAAAATAAAACGTGATTGGGGAAGCAGATGCTACTGGCCATCAAACTCTATGGCTGCGGTCACACGGAGCATTAGCCACGCTACAGAGATGGAAGATAGGAGGATTTTCCGGGTGTGATCACAGCGCCACATCTGGGAAGCGTAGAGCTCCCGTGGCGAACCCGAGGCTTCCCACAGAAGATGCGGGGTAAAAAACTAGTACCTTCAAGGTACTAGTTTCCGGAAACCGCGGGGGAAGGGCGGGCGCCTGATCGCTTTTCTGGTGGAATCCTGTGGCATCCGGCGCCCGCCCATCTCCCCTTGCGAAAAGGTTTTTTTCCCCAAGTCTCCACAGGATGCGCACAAGCACCCAACGGCGCATGCGCACAAAGAGGAAAGCGAAAGTGGCGTGGACGGCTGGCTAGCTGTCTGGTGGCCATGGCATTCCTCCGTCTCCTGCCTGCATCTATTGCCCCCTCCCACTGTAGCCAGGTTTGCCGCCTCTGGAGGGTCGCTGTGGCTACTGTCGCGCAGGCGGTTAGGGCAGCTGTGATGAGGGAGCCCACCTCCTCCTCCATCGCCTGTACCTCGGAGCTCTATTGGGGTCTGGTAGTGTCTCCGTTAAACCCACCACCCGCCTTCCGCATTCCGCAGGGCTTTGCGGATCCGATTGCTCGTTCATGCGCATGACTTTGGTGGAAAAAACCACTCCCATTTCCCATGGAAGCGGTGCCTAGCGATTGCTGTTGTGATCGCGCCGCTTCTTTGCCGCGCTGCAGGATCGTCGTGTGATTGCCCCCCTTGTTTACCCGCCGGCGCCGAGGGAAGGACCCGTGGTGTGCCGCTGGTGCGTCTGATCGCGTAATCGCGGATCTAACTGCGCCGGGGCAATTAGCCACGCCTCCCCCCTGGCCCGTGTGACCGGGGCCTTCATTAAGTTTTCAACAGAGGCCAACTTAGTGGTTCTGGGAAGCCCACAAAGCAGGGCAACAGCCTCTTCCTACGGTTCATCCCCAGCATCTGGTACTCAGAGATGCATTGCAGAGAGGACCTTAATAGACCTCTCCTTCAGGCCACATTTAAAGCCATTTTAGCTAGCATCCATTATTTATTTGTTTGTTTGTTACTTTCTATTTCTAGCCCACATTCCTTGTGTTCAAATATAGACCAAAAAGTCAAATGTATAAAAAACACTTTATTTCTATTTTTTGGGTCTAACTCTTTCTTATATCCTGTTCATTGTGCAGAAGAAAATACAGCCATGATACAGTGCCTCCCCCCCCCCCCCAAGAAGTAGTAGTTTGAAATGAATTCTTTATATTGGAAGAACAGTGAATGGAGAAATGGCCAAAGGACACCCCCCCCGCTGCTTCCCCAGTCCAGTTATATGTAAGTTTGTTCTTGTGGGGAGATCAATCATGGATTTCTCAGTGAAGGACATGAAGTTGGTCTTCAGCAATCATGCAGAGGGTTGCAGTCAAGCAGCTTGAGCCTCTGGATGTTTACTCCCAAAGGAAGATTTATAGGACTGCAGCCTTAAGCAGCAGTAGCATTTTTATTTTTTAGAAAAGTTGTGTCAATATTATTTCTACAAATCTGGCATATTTGTGTGTGTTTAATGTATAAAATACTTTACTTTTCTTTGTAGTATTTGGAGCTTCGGTTTAATAGATTCGTGCGTCTGACAGGAACAATGATGTTTATGATACTAACGGCAAGTAAAGCATAAAATACTGTTGAGGGTTGGCTGTTATTAAATCTGCTTGTAAACGATAGTTGCATCATCAGCTTTGCTTATAAAACACTAAATATCAACTTCAAGGTCAGACCTAAACATTTTCTTACTCTTGTCTAGTTCCATTAATACCAGCAGTAATTAAAGTTGTATTTGAATGCTGCTTGATGTCTTCTTGCAGTGTCAGCTTGGGGTTCAGCAAACAGTATCATGTTATCTAGCCCATCTCTGTCCCTGCCATCTGTCTTGCAGCCTGAGTCTGAATTTTCCCTGTCCCTCTCAAACTTCAGTTCAATGTTTCATCTGAATTCTGAAAGAGTGTTGAGGAGCATTCCTTGATTCATTTTGATCAAGATTAAAAATAGTCAGTTATAAGGAAGAATCCATAGTGAGTTGGATTCACCTGTTAGAGGTGAAAAGTGGAGAGGGATCAACGTCTTAATTCCTTGACTGTGGATAGTGTTATATCTTTATTGGGCCATTGGTAGTTTCAAAAAGTACAAAAGTGATTGTCTTTATATATTGTCTGTTTTAACACAATTTAAATATAATATAGAAATGGTGCCTGACTTATTGCCTAAAGTAAAATACTTGCAACGCCCCAGGTATTTTAAAATGTTTTTTTAAATTGTGTGTTACCTTAATTATTTAAAAAAGAAACTCTGCTTTTAAAACATTACTTCTCTGTGCCAAGTTTTAAAATCTTCCACTGAAGGGTATGTACAAATATAAGTAAATTTAGTTATGAACTTGCTGTTGAAGTGCATTAGCCTCATATGTAATATTCTTCCCTACAGTGAGTTCATGGGAAATCTGCTTTGGTTTTAAAAAGCTGGTGTAGTCATTAGAAAGTTGGGCTAGGGTATGAGAGATCTAGGTTCAGATTCTTACTCCGCAGTGAATCTTGGGATAGGCTGCTTTAGATTTGGAGAAGGGGTAGCTCTCATGGTTATAAAGAGATTACTGCAAAGGTTTAGTTAATAAAAACCAAATAATAAGAGTCTTGTATGGATGGCTTTATATCTCACAGTAAGGTGGCCCCAGCCTTATGGAATGGCCTGCCTGGTGAGGTCAGGAAGGCTCCTACTCTCCTGGCATTTCACAAACCGTGCAAAACTGAATTATTCAGGAGGGAATTTTTGCAAGGTAAAAATAGATCTTTATCATAACAGAACGGTTAAAGAAGAATGCCTTAATAAAGGGAAAGAAACACAATGTACTATTGTGTATATTGTATAATATATGTTGCTGCATGTATTATTAGGGATGGGCACAAACCGTAGTTCTGCAGTTCGGATTGTGGCTGAACCACAAACTGAACCACAAACCGTATCAATTTAAACCTCTGATTTCTGCTCCCTGCTGCTTTTCGCAGGAGCAGAAAGCAGGGGGTGAAATGGCTTTAAGCCATTTAAACCAAATAGCAGAGCCATTTAAACCTGGTTTCTGCTCTTCAAGAACTGCATCAAAATTCGTGGAAGTTCATGGCCGCTCTTCAGTTTGTGAACACTGCTTTGTGAACCATGAACTGGCCAAAATTTGTGATGAACTTTAGTTTGTGAGCCAGTTTGTGCCCATCCCTATGTATTATCATGTTATGCAATTTCTGCATTGTTTAATATGCCGTGTTAATACTTATGCTTTGTTTCAGCTTGTTCCAGATTTTTTACTTGGTTTTAATTTCCAAAGTCCTAATTCACCCTATTACATTGCTTCTTGGATGTCCTGTCCTACTGATTATATTGCTTGCCCCTTCGAATCCGCCATGAGTCTCCGTGAGAAGGGTGGACTCTAAATAACATCAATCAATCAATCATTTTGTGGATTTTCTTTTCAGTTGTTTTGCACATTTGGGTCATTACCAGGGGTCTGGAGATGCTTGCTTAGTTTTTACTATTCTTGTTTGGTCAGTGTAAACAGCATTTTTGTTATATTATGGCTAACTTGCAGGGCAATAATTTCCAGTCGAACCTGATTGAAATCAGTGTGCTTAGACTGTACTAGCACTGCATAGAATTGCCCTGTGTACATTCTTAATTTGCTTTCCAGTTCTGCTTTAAAGGGAACCTATGAAGTTTAAATGCTATTGTCATCACTTTTTAAACATGTATGTTAATTTTTGTACCTCCCCAGATATTATATACAGGAATTGTTATATATACTCCATCCCTGGCTCTTAATCAAGGTAATATAAAGATGTTCTACTGTTTAACACTGTTACTTTTTAAAATCTGAAAAGATAGTTTTGAGGAATGGAAAAGACTGGAATTATGACAATTATGATAGTTGCAAAAAGCATAGTGCCCGGTTCAAGAGGTTTGCTGGTATGTCATGCCCAGTAGCTCTTAAGAATTTTTAGAAGTGTATGAAAAATTTAAATTGACTTGGCTTCAGTGATTTATTAAAACATCCCACCTTTCCACATAGCTCAAGGTGGCTTGCAACACATAATTAAAACATCAATGACAAACTCCCAGTAATGTGCAAGTTATATCATTTCGTTTTGTTGCTTCTGATTTATTTTCTTGTAATTTTTTTATAATTTAATTTTTTGCAAAGGGAGGGTAAAGGAGAAGAATTGTGCTCTCATTTAAGTAGGGAGTAAACCTGCCTTGCTGTCACCTGAATAGCCCAGGCTAGTCTGATCTTGTCAGATCTCAGAATCTAAGCAGGGTTGGCCCTGATCAGTATTTGGATGGGGGACCACCAAACAAATATGAAGCTACACAGAGGCAGGTAATGGCAAACCACCTCTGAAGGTCTCTTTCCTTGAAAACCCCATGGATTGCCATAAGTCAGATGTGACTTGGTGGTTTGTGAGCCAGGTTAGAGTTCTAAAGGCCCAGCTAAGGAGACCCTCTAGCAACTTTGCACTTTATCTTTGACCTTTTGGTATTTTGATTATTCCTTCTAAAATATTCTTCTGAAGTATGTTTGCTGTTCACCCCTGTATTTTTAAATTTCTTGTTATAGTAGTTGTAGACTTCAGATTCACAAATGTGATGATGGTCACTTTTGATATGCGTTTTTCAGTTACAGGATTTGATTTGTGGGGATCTGTTATTGCAACAGGACTAGTCTGTACTTTCTATTGCACACTGGTATGTTAACCACTCGTTTTAATAAACTAGTCTTCTGAACTTTTTACCATTGTAAGATAAACTGGATATTGTTTTAGTGCTAACATTCAATTGAGTTATAGCACCCTATGATTTTTTTCTGACCTTCCTATCTGCATTACGTACTTATATTGATCATATACCACCCTAATGGTTATGTCTATCCCAAAGAATCCTGGAGACAGTAGTTTAGTGAAGTGCTTGGAGTTCTCTGTTAGAGATCTTTAATGCATCTTCATAGAGCTATAGTTCCCTGGGAAGGAGAAATAACTGCTAATTTATTTTTATTTTATTTTATTAGACTTATATTCTACCCTCCTCACATTGTAGGCTTAGGGTGGGTTCCAACATATAGGTCTGCAATTTATGCAGATTTGTATTTATAATCTGTAAAATCAATAAAATCATCACTTACTAAAACATCAACGCCTCAACAGAAAAATATTGTGGTCCCAGTCTGGCTTCATGGATCTGTGGTCACTGGAGGGGAGGCCAATCAAGTGGATGCCTGCTGCCTGAATTAAAGGCCCAGTGGAAGACTTCTGTCTTGCAGGCCCTGGGGAACTGTAACAGGTCCCACAGGGCCCTGATCTCATAAGGTAGCTCATTCCACCAGGCAGGCTTGATGCAAGTTGGACATCCCTAGGGCCAGGGACAGTCAGGAGATGTTGGTTTGTAGAACACAATGTTCTACGGGGCTCATATGGGGAGAGGCGGTTTTGAAGATATGTAGGCCCCTGGCCATATAAGGCTTTAAAGGTAAGCACCAACACCTTGAAATGGATCTGGAATTCAATAGAAAATATGGGGGAGATGATAGCTGGTGAATGCAAAGAGGAAGAAACCCCCACCCTGAAGTGTTTTAGAGTTAAGTTGGAAAATGTCTCTTTTAATGACTTGTTTTCTCCCATCCAGCTAGACTATTGTGTTTTTCAGCAGGGATTCTGGCATATTGTTTAGAATTACTATATCTAATAGTATGAAGTCTGGCCTTGTGTTAATGGAGAAGGCAGCACAATGGGCCATCAACAGACAAGGTGGGAGCATCTGCCTACTTGGGTATGCAGAAAATATGATTTTATGCTGCATCCCAGGTCACTCTCAATTTGCGGGAGAAAAGGGTGGCCCTAAGGGGGGCAGTGCACAGCTGCAGACCTCATACAAGGGCAAGGTAGGCCCCCAAGGGCAGCTAAGGAGCAGATAGGATAAACAACTAGACTCCTCTGCAGTAAAGGTCTCCTCTGGTGTAGTACAGGTCTCTTTGTTAGAAAGGACCTCCTCAGAAGTAAGCTGGGAGAGTCAGGAACTGGGTGCAAACAGGAGGAGGCAGATGAAAGGTCTCAGCAGGGGAAGGAATCAGCTGGCTGGGAAGGAGAGCAGCCAACAAGGCCTTTGGTCTGCGTTGTCTTGAGAGACCAGACTTTCCCTGGGACTTTACAGGAATGTTGCAGTGGCTAGAGGCACTAGCCAAAGAATGTAAGGAAAGACCTGGAACCTGGGTTGATGCAGGTGGAGATAGTGACTGGTGAACTAATCTCATGAGGTGGCTGTTGTAAGTGGTTTAAACAATTAAAGCAAAACCTCTGCAATTCCCTGCTGTCAGTTTGTCCGTGGTGAGGGAAGTATGGTTGCCACCTGCCTGCAGAAAAAGTGCAATGTCATTTTAATAAAGCCTTAATAGGATGTTATTTTCAAGTGATGTCTGCCTTGCACTTCCAGCAGATCCAAGGGATCTGTGGAAACTGAACAGGTGCCTGGAGGCAGTTTTGAGATGGATGAGCGCTAACAAACAGAAACTTAATCCCAACAGAACAGAGGTGCTACTGGTGGGGGGAAGGTTTGAACCAGGAATGGGGATGCCTCCTGCTCTGGGTTGGGTTTTGCTCTCCTTAAACAAGGAGGTTTGTAGCTTGTTGAATGGCCTCTTGTTGAATAAACAGGTGGCAGCACTGCCAGGGATGTCTTTCATCAGTTATCTCTCTTCCTGGGTGGGAGAGGTCTCTAGTAACATCTGGACTAGATCACTGCAATGTTTTCTATTTGGGGCTGCCTTTGAAGACTGTATAGAAACTACAGTTGGTGCATAATACTGTGGCCAGGATGTTGTCTGGAATTATTCATAGGGACTTTATCACCCCAGTCTTGTTTCTTCTACACTGGCTCCCAGTTTGCTTCTGAGTTCAATTCAAGGTGCTAGTATTGACCTTTAAAGCATTGTATGGCTTGGGGCCAGCATACTTTAAGGATCACCTAATCCTGTGCATCTACCCACCCACTCTGGTCATCTTTGTAGGCCCTGCCTCAGGTGTCCCCACTATATGAGGGCAGACAAGTGACAATCTTACAAAGGCCCTTCTTGTTTGTGGCTCTGAATCTTTGGAATTCTCTCCCTGGGGATATTCGTCTGTCTCCTTCTATTGTTTTCCATTAGTGACTGAAGACTTTGTCTTCTGTTTGGCATGCCGACTCTAACTGTCCATTTCCACACATAGGTGTCTATTAAAAGGTCGCTGAAAATTTTTCCTTCAGGCCAGCCAGCAACACTATGAAGTGGCCCCTGGCCTCAGGAGCTTGACCCTTTGTAAATTAACCGAAGGTGTCTTAAAAATCCCACAGTCTGATGAAAACTAAATGTGTCCCAGAACAGTTGGCATGTTGAGAGCAGCTAAGTGACATTTAAAGGGGAAAAAGAGAGATAAATTTGCTTAAGCTCCTGTGGCCTTATGGAATCCTGGAGCAATAGTTCTCGAGGAGGCATACTGGGATTTGTGAATGGTTTGTGTAACGATTCCTTGTTTATGTGTGTGTGTCTCTTTAAATGTTTGGTTGCATGTTAGATTAGTCTAGAGTGTTTGAAGAGACAAGTGTGGTGTGATTGGTGATTGACAGAGAGAGGGGAGGGGTTTTAGAAAGTGTTTCTTTTTTTTTTTTTAGTAAACAAATTTTATTTTCTCAGGAATACAACATATAAAACATTTCATTCTATCAATTATCTACCCCATTCCCAGTTCCTCCCCTCCCTCCAATGGCTTCCCACAATGCTTCCACCCCTGCTCCAAATTACTTCATATCATCAACAATATCAGTTTTTCATCATTACAATCTAAAGATAACATCGTTTGACTTAATATTGATCTAAACATATTAAGTTTTGTTTCACATCCCAGTTCTTTTCCAGATAAATTTTAAAATCATTCCATTCTCCAAAAAACTCATCGTCTTCTTTGTTATTCAGTTTTTTTGTAATCTTATCCATTTGTGCCATGAACAGAACTTTTTGTATCCATTCTTCAACCTCTGGTACCTTTTCTGTCTTCCAAAACTGAGCATAAATCATTCTCGCTGTCACTATCAGGTACCAGAGTAAAGTTTTTTTAGTCGTATTGACTTCTTCCATTTTGAGTCCCAAAAGCAGAATTTCCGGTGCTTTTTTAAAAGAACATTTCAGTATTTTTTGCATTTCATTGTGGACTTTTGTCCAAAAGTCTACAGCTTTCTCACAAGTCCACCACATATGATAAAATGAGCCCTCATGCCTCTTACATTTCCAGCATTTGTTTGACATATTTTGATTCATATTTGCAATCTTCTTAGGTGTCATGTACCACCTATACATCATCTTATAACAATTTTCTTTAACATTAGTACATGTCGAGATCTTAATAGAGTTTTTCCACAAATATTCCCAAGTTTCCATATCTACTTCCTTATTCATATTAATAGCCCATTTTAACATTTGTTCTTTAACAGTTTCATCTTCAGTATACCATTTTAACAACACCTTATACATTTTAGAAATATTTTTTCCTCCTCCACTCTCCCATACCTTTTCAATTTCATTTTTTTCCTCTCTAAAACCATAGTTTTTTTTGTCAGATCTAAAAAGATCATAAATCTGCATATATTTCAACCACTCATATTCATATTCAATTTCATTCTGCTTTTTCATTACCCACTCTGTTCCCTCTTTTTTAATTAAATCTCTATATGGCAACCAGTCTCTACCTCGCTGTCTTGAGTAAGATATCAACACTTCTACTGGTACAATCCACAATGGTCTTAAGTCACTCTGGTACTTCTTATATCTTGTCCATACCATATACAAAGCTTTTCTCACCAAGTGAAGTTTAAAAAAACTGTCCATTTTTATCTTGTCATACCATAAATATGCATGCCAGCCAAATCTACAATCATGCCCTTCCAACCCCAACAATCTGTCATTTTCAAGCTTCACCCATTGATCCATCCATGTTAGACAAACCGCTTCATAATATAGTCTAAGATTTGGCATTTGTAGACCTCCTCTTTCTTTGGCATCACAAAGTATTTTCATTTTGATCCTTGGTTTCTTGCCTGCCCAAACAAATTTTGACAACTCTTGTTGCCACTTGGCCAACAAATCCGTTTTATGCAGAATTGGTATTGTTTGGAACAGGAACATCAAACGTGGTAGGACATTCATTTTTATAACTGATATTCTTCCCATCAGTGATAAGTTCATTTTATCCCATTTCTTAAAATCTTGAGTCAGCTTAGTCCATAATTTCTCATAATTATTCTTATATAGGTCTATATTTTTTGCCGTTAATTCAATTCCAAGGTATTTTGTTTTTTTAACTACTTCACATTGTACCAGTTCTTGTAGTTCCACTTGTTTTTGTTTGATCATGTTTTTACATATAAGTTTTGTTTTATTCTTATTTACGTAAAAGCCGGCCAATTCTCCAAACTCCTTTATTTTTTGAAAAAGCAATGTCAATTTTTCTGTTGGGTTTTCCACCATAAACATTACATCGTCTGCAAATGCTCGATATTTGTATTGGTGTCCTTTATGTGTCAAGCCCTTTATTTCTTGATCGTACTGTATTTTTTGTAAAAGTATTTCCAATACCCAGATAAATAATAACGGTGATAACGGACAACCTTGCCTTGTTCCTTTCTGTACTTTGAAGTTATCTGTCAGTTCTTTATTCACATTTATTTTAGCTCTTTGTTCAGAATAGATAGCTTCAATACAATTTCTAAAATGTTGTCCCGCTTCAATCTTTTCCATCATCTGGTGCATAAAATTCCAATTAAGATTGTCAAAAGCTTTTTCTGCATCAACAAACAGAAAAGCTACTTCTTTTTCTGGGTGCTTTTCATAATATTCAATTGCGTCCATTACTATTCTTACATTGTCTCTAATCTGCCTTTTGGGTAAAAAGCCCGCTTGATCTTCAGAAATTACCGTTTGTAAATAGTTTTTCACCCTTTCTGCAATAATTTTTGCAAAGATTTTATAATCGTTGTTCAAAAGAGATATTGGCCTGTAGTTCTTTACATTTGTTGAATCTTGTCCTTCCTTTGGAATCAAAGAAATAATTGCTTCTTTCCATGAGTCCGGCACCTTTTTGTTTTCTCTTATTTCGTTGGTTAAAGCTTCCAGGACCGGGGAAATTTCTTCTTTCATCTTTTTGTAGAATTTCGCTGTAAATCCGTCCGGCCCAGGCGCCTTCCCCAACTTTGTCTCTTCTATTGCCTTCATCACTTCTTCTTTTTGAATTGGACCATTTAATAAATCTTTGTATTCCTTACTTATTTTTGGTAGTGGAATCTCCTTTAAATATGTTTTAATCTTCTCAAGATCAACTCTAGTTGTTTGGAATAGTTTAGCATAATACTTGAAGAAACATCTCTTTATTCCATTAGGATCAACGAACTCTTTTCCATCTTCTATTATTTTGGTTATCATTCTTCTCTCTCTTCTAGCCTTAAGTTGCCAAGCTAAGTATTTTCCCGGTTTGTTCGCCCCTTCAAAAGATTTCTGTTGTAACTTCTTTAAATTCCAATACATTTCCTGATTCCAAGTCTCATTCAGTTGTTCCTTCAGCAACTTTAATTCTTTAATAATTTGCTTTTTTCCAGGCTTCTTTTTTAATTCCTTTTCTTTCTGAGCAATTTTTTCTAACACTTCTGTTTGTTTTTGAAGTTTTTCCTTTTTTTGCTTCACGTTTTGCGAGATGAGAATTCCTCTCATCACCGCTTTATAAGCATCCCATACAATCTGTATCGGTGTTTCTTTATTTAAATTTTGTTGAAAGAATTGTTTCGTTTCTTCCTTTAACATCTCAATTACTGTTTTCTTATCCAACAAGTCTTCATTAATCCTCCACAGAAAGGGTTTTTTCCTTTCTGTGGAACTCCATACCACCGGATTGTGATCTGAATTACATCTTGGCAAAATTTCAGTCTTATGTGTTTTCATTGATAATTCTTCAGACATCCAAATCATATCAATTCTGGAAAAAGAGCAATGTCTATTGGAATAAAAAGTAAAGTCTTTCTGCATCGGGTTCCATTTCCTCCAAACATCTTCTAATTTTTCTTGCTTAACTAATTCAAAAAAATTCTTTGGCAGTTTTCCGCTGAATTCGTTGTCCTTTTGTGGTTTTCTGTCTACACGATCTATTGTCCCATTAAAGTCTCCGGCCATAATAACTTGCTCATAAGTCAATTGTTGTAATTGGTCAGTTATATCCTTAAAAAATTTTTCCTTTGCTCCATTGGGTGCGTACACGTTGATCAACAATGTTTTTTTCTGCTGAATCATTAATTCCACACCCACGTATCTGCCATCTATGTCCTTAAAAATTTCTGTAGGTTGTAACTCCTTCTTCACATATGTCACAACTCCTTTTTTCTTGTTTGAGGCCGCAGAACAAAATTCAATTCCAAATAAAGCATTCTTTAAATATTTTATATCCTGTTTTCTAATATGTGTTTCTTGCAAGCATATCACGTTGCATTTCTGTTTCTGTATCCAATGATTGATTCTTTTCCTCTTGTTTGGTGAATTTAATCCATTAACATTCCATGACAACAATTTGTACTCCATTATGCGTTTTATTTTAAAGTTCTCCAAAGACGTCCGCATTGTCCGCCTTAAATTTATAAAAGTCCATCATCGATCTGATCTGAATCCTCCCACCTTGATACGTAAAGGATAAACCTTGTGGAATCTCCCATCTATATCTGATGCTCAAAGCTCTGAGTTTGTCCGCCAAGGATTTATACCTTTTCCTGTCTTGCAGTATTGTTCTTGGGAGTTCTCTCATCACCATAATTTTGTTTCCCTCTATTTCAAAAGGGACGGTGAATTGCTTCTTGAATATCTCCTCTGTTGTTGATCTTGTTACAAATTGTACAATTACATCCCTTGGTAAATTCTTCTTTTCTGCAATTCTGGAGTTCACTCTATAAATCAAATCAAAGTCTGAGTCCATTGACCCTTCCTCCTCGCCCAGAAAAGCCGTTATCACTTCCATCATTTTTTCTTTTAAGTTCTCATTCTCTGTTTCCTTAATGCCTCTGAATCTCAGATGAGTCTGCATCCTTCTGAACTCCATCATTGTCTCTGATCTTGTAATTTGTTGAGTCAAAGAATCTTGTTTCTCTTCTATTTTTTGTATCTTCTCCTCTGTCTCTGTAGTCTTGGTTGCATTTGCTTGAACATCCTTCTTAACTCCTTCCATTTCTTGCTTGATTGAAGTTATTTCTGTAGTAACCAGTTCCTTCAATGCTGTTATGTTCTTCTCTTGGACTTCTTCTAGATGTTTCAGATGAATCTGAGTTTGCTTCTCCAGTTGGTCCCCCAATGTTTTTTCTATCTGCTCCCCCATGGCTTGTATTGCCTCTGTCATTCTCTTCTCCATTGCTTCCATGGAGGCCTGCATCTCTTTTTTCTCGCTTTACCTTGTCATTTTGGGGGTTGAAGTAGATCCAATCCTAGGTCTCACAACCGGTTTAAGTTCTGGGTCTGAGTCGGCTCTTTTCTTGCCTCTCCTGGTCTCCGTCTTGGCGATTTCTTTCCAATTCACAGATTCGCAAAATAAAGCACTCTTCTAGATGATAAGATTTAGTCCTCCATGCCTCTCTGTTTACGCTTTCCAAAGACCCTTAGAAATATATTAAAAAAGCAAATTTAGTTGAAGTCCTCCTCAAAATGTCGGGCGCAACTTCTCTATGGTAATTTCATGTAGAGTAGGTCAGATTGGTATTTTGCAGGCCCTTCCTTCCGCATAAAACTCACTTCCGGTCCGGCACCTTTAAAAGTTCCACTGTCTTCCTTTCGCTAATGCCCGTCTAGGAATTCAACTTCCTGGATGTTTCACACGGACCTCTTTCTTTGTGACACCAGCCTGCTCTTCCCACGCTATTGTTCGTGAGTTTCGATTTTACAGTTGCGCACACGGCTCCATCTTCACCACAGGAATGTTAAACAATAAGCGTTTTTACAGTTTTTAAAGGCTTCAATCAACTTTTTTCTCTCCGGAATCGGATTTCTGGGATTTACTATTCATTTTCCGCTCAACCGCTTAATTCAAATTGACTCCAAACTCAGTTCAGGTAAGCGGCACGTTTTTGTTATCTAGCACGTTCAAAACGGGTTTCGCATTGTTTCTTTTAACTCACAGTTGTTGTCCTTCTTCAAAGAGGTCGGCTGACGAAGAATTTATGCCGGTAATCCGGCTCGATCGGCCACTATAGAGTTGCTTGGCACTTGCCTTCTTCGTGGGAGGAGGTCAAAGCCCAATTCAGCTTCTTCCGAAGCTGGATTACGCCAACCTCACACTCCCTCTAGGGCGCTGCTGCCTGCTTGTCCCCCCCCCTCGCTGGGGAGTGATGCGTTGGGCTGTGTATTGCCCAAACTGTCAAAAGTGGCCGTCGCTCGCTTCGCACGATCGCGAAACGCTTCAGTCCTCCATCTTAGCCAGACCGGAAGCCGGGTTTTAGAAAGTGTTTCTGAGTGGATGAATGGGTATGTCTTTCAGGAGTGACAGTTAGAGGTTTGACAGTTGAGGATGACAGTTGTTAAGTTAGTTCGTTCTGAAGTCTGTGTGTGTGGAGTTAAGAACAGCTGAGGTTGTTCTGAGAGAATAGTAAAATGTAAATGAAAGTAATTGAAGATAAAGTTTAAGAAAGGCTGTATGTCCTGGAGAGAAACAGTGAACTTACATGACCTTGAGTTAAAGTTACAAAGTTACCTGAAAAATCCCTGACAGTCAGGGAGAAGATTGTGTGATACACCAAGCATTTGTTCAGTATTTAAGCCTTCATGGTTACAATGATTTAATCTTTTATTTATGAATTACTTCAATAAATCCTCTTTTATTTAAATATACCCGCTCTGAAAGAAATACTTCCTCAGGCACCACATTAGTTCCTCGTAAGCTTTGACCTTGTAAAGTAAAGTATAAAAGGTTTGGAAAGCCTTAAATTTCCTGGTGGCAGCTGGATATACCCAGTAGAACCAAACATAAAGAACATGTTTAAAGTAGAACCAGACCTCCCTAGTTAAGGGGTCGTCACAGTTTGTTCCCTTTCTATGATTCCTTGTGAAACCATAGTCAGTGAGTTTGCTATTGTGCACGTTTGTTTAAATTGAAACAACCTACCAAATGATTCAGCAGAATGCAAATAGAAGTTCAGCACTTCTTTACTCTGTAAACTGATGTTTACAGTTTACTCTGTAAACTGATGTTTACAACTGATGTTTACATGGTGTATGTCAGCCCTATACCTTTATAATCAGTGGAACTAATTATGTGAAGTTATATTACAGGTGTCAGTATTTCACAAAAAATTAAAATTATTCCTTTTAATCAGGTTCTATTTGCAAATTTATGTTGGTGGAACAGATCTTTCATTGTACACTGTATTTGCTGCTCCCAAATAGGGTGGTCTAAAGGCAGTAGTCTGGACAGATGTTTTCCAGTTTACACTGATGATAGCTGGGTTTCTAACAGTGATTATACGGACTGCGATAATTAAAGGAGGAGTCGGAAATGTTCTAAATGATGCCCACGAAGGAGGAAGACTGAGGATATGGGAGTAAGTGTTCTCTTGCTTAGGCAGCAGTATAAGCAACTCAGAAGTTCTTAAAGATTTTGAAAAAAAATGTGAATATAGGTTTCAGCTGGTGGGATGATGCAGGTGGTTTCCTTGATGAAATCTCACCAGTATGTCTCTGAGAATAAATTATTGTAGAAAGCAAATTAATAACTTCAGCAAATGTTAAAAGCAATGCTTCCTCTAAGCTGTGGAATCTTATGAGCTACTAACATTAAAGTTGTGAGCAAGCGATTTGGCTCCTGCATAAATTAGTTTGCTCTGGAGCCATCCTTTCTGAGCTAAGACAAAAATGTGTGAGCCGGAGGCTAAAAAACTGTGAGCTAGCTCACACTAACTCATCTTAGAGGGAACACTGGTTAAAAGTGTATTTATAAGGAGAATACTTGATCATTAGTGGCTGATTGTATTCATTCCTTAAAGTAAACCGTATTGAGCCTAAAAACAAACATGTCTGGGCACTGATCCTGTTTTGTTTACAACTATTATTTTTGGTTAAAAATGATCCTAAAAGTCTTTTTACAGAACTGCATACAATTCAAAATGCAGTTCCAGTGATTACTGAATGGATGTGTCTGTCTTTGCTTGTTAACATTTACACAGATAAGAATTGTTTTACATAAAGGAATATAAATGGAATAAATGAGACTTACAAACAATCTAAAACATATGGAACAAGTAACTGAAGAATTATCTCCTTAGTGTCAGCAATGCAGTCCATTTTCTAGGTGACACTTCCTCCTGGAAGCGGCTTCAAACCAAGAAGAAGGGATTTTTTTAGACTGTCTCTGCACAGGAATATGAGATTCATTGGGGCTCTTTATTTCTTTCTTTATTTATTTATTTATCTATCTATCTTTTGACTTCTATACCGCTCTGACCCCGAAGGGTCTCTGAGTGGTTTACATTATTTTTACGTTACCTATCTTGGGCCACATTGTTGTATGGGGGGGGGGGCTTTCTTCCCTACCGACACCCAGGCAGCAGGGCTCAGTTGATTTTTGTTCGGCATCTCCTTGTTAAAAGGAATGTTAATCTGTGGCTAAACATCTGCAAGAGGCAGCCCCGTTGGCTGTCTAACAGAGCTGCCACCTGAAGGAGTAAATACAGGAGTGCGGGAACTGATTAGTGGCCACCAACTCCAGAGAGCAGAACTTGTTCTCTTCTGAAAGCACCAAAAAAGGTCTGTGGGAAAGCAAGTAGAGATACCCCCCATCCGGGAGGTGAGCTTCCAATTTAGGCATAATGGCAGGCTCCAGATGATGATGTCTCTGATGCAGAGCTCCTTGCAGTTAGAGCCAAACTGCAGGAAGCTCTCTGTGCCACTCTTTGTGTCCAGAGTAACCTGCAAGAGAAAGCAAATAGGGACAATGAACAGAATAGCACATTTAAGCATAAAACATTCACAGTGAAAAAAATCTGATGATGGGTCATCTGTTCCTGTTCACCCAAGCTTACCTGGGAGTCTCTCCCAGGTGCAGACAAAATATAGTCATCTAGATTTTTTCTTCTTCTTAAGAATCTTTGCCAGATTGCTTAGAAAGTGGATATCTCTTTGAGTCACTAAGGCTTAAAGCCTCTGTTATTACTTCTTACTGACCGCCATAAGAGGAAAAACTGAGAAAGGTCTTGCTCTGATTCTCTGTCATTTCAAAATGTGATCGTTTTCTGTTTTTGTTTTTGATATGCTGAGCCGGTTTGAGTTTGCATTGACTACAGAAAAGTAGGGTAAAAGCCCCCAGATATATAAACCTCTGGGAGACACTGTCCCCAGATATATAAACCTCTGGGAGACCTCTGTCAGTGTAGGGCAATCTAGGACAAGGGTTCTAGTTTGGTGGTATCCAGTACGGAAGGGGAGAGGATGCTTTGTGCAGTTCCTGAGTGCCTTCTGTTAGATCTCTGCTAAAACAGAGGGAGCACTTTAAAAAGTGAGGGTCCTTACTGAGCCTGATCAGGGCAGGTTTGTTCCTAAATATTTTTCTGATCCATTGGCTGAAGCACTAACTGGACCCTGTGTTCCAGACAGATTCTATCAGTGGGTTTTTCTAGTTGGGCCCAAACTGTGGTTCTTCAAGAATCTGGAATTTAGGATCAAAGCGTTCTCTAAGAGTTGACACACTCTCATTTCTGGGGACAGGACCAGAAACAGAATGAACAGTTCGACCAAGCATATGTTGCTGCTCATCTCTCCAAACCAGCACTCCTCCTACTGTCATGCCTGTCTTGCTGCTGCTGTTAATTGTTGTAATGGTTACGTGCAATGGTTATGTAGGTTGATAATCTGACAGTTTCTATCAAAAATTTCATTACATGCAGGCTTCCTAAAGATTTTTTATTAGTTTCAGTGCAGCTTGGAGCCAGAAGTTTGGCATTTTATGGTTGTTGCCCACAGAATTGCCTGTTCAGGGCCTGTAAGTAGATCTTGGTTCTAGAGGCCACCTGACTAATAAGTCTTTTCAGTTATTAAGCTGCATGGAGACTAGTTTGATGAGATGGAGACAAAGGATCAAAAAAGGCATTTCAACCATAAGAGACAACTGCAAGCAGTCAACATTTATTATTTCTTTTGTTCTTTTAGTAAATTCTAGTTGGAGGATTTTAGGAAACAGTTGCAGCCCACCAAAGTTTAATCTTACTCTGAACCATCTGATTCTTCCTCTTCTGCTGCAGGGCCTAGAAGGCCCAACAAACAATGCTGTACTTGATCCCAGCCTTCTTTGTCCCCACCTGTCCGTAGGAGGTCTAGTGTATGGGTAAATACTCTGACAGCTTTTCCTGGACAAATTTCTCATTTCTCCATGGTCAAAATCCCTTTGGAAGCATTGTGTAATAGTGGTTGCTTTTCAGTATCTTCTTGAGATGAGCAGTGTTTTGTTAGCGTATGAAGCGTCTAGTAATCACACGTACTAGGTTGCTAGTGCTGACTATACACAGTGGAGTTTATTTACACAGTTATATACACAGTCTCTTTGCACTCTCAGACTCCAAATCACCATACAATCCAACACAGTGCTCCGCAGCAAGGCATTCACCAGAGTGAACACCTCTACAAGTACTTTACACACTTATATACATGTTCAGCACCAATCAGTGATCAGTGCTGACTCATGGTGACATCATTTTAGCTGATTGCAACTGAGATGCAATCTTAACCTGGTGACATGATCATATGACTCCTGCTGTCAACCAGATCAGAATGATCTCCACCATTTACTTTCTTAGGCTGTCATCTTGCTTCATACCTGATAGTATGCTGACATGTTTTGTATCCTGCCTGCTGTTCTTAAGAATCATAGAAATACAAGAACAATTTTGGACATAAAGCTTCTGAACAAATATAAAATGAAAAGAAAGCTTAGAAAGGAGACCCTTTCTTGTGGTTGTGTTACAGACCAATGGTTACCTTGATATCAGTTGACTTACCAGAAGCTTATTTAACTGCATGCTCTTTTAGAAAGTCTTTCCCCCCTACAGTTTGTAATGGTACAAGTGTTTCTGGTACTGAGCTTTGCGTTTCAGCCCATCATTCATGCCCAAGGGCCTTTGCTGAGTTCTGGGTGACTCTTGTGGTTCATTGGGGTACTGAAATTTCCCCTTTCCTGACCAGAACCAGAAGGCTCCGGAAGCCACCATTGTTTGTCTTCAGGCACACAGTTCTCTCTCAACAGAAAGAAATCTCTTCAGCTGACTCAGATATTTTACCACAAAGTTATGCCTAGTACTCTGAGTATAGATTTCCTCATATAAAAATGTTAGAGGATGGTGAGACTTCCAGAATTCTGTAAGATCTTTTGGATATTTGTTTTATTCTTTGTGTCAGAAAGTGAAATGTGTTGTGGTTTTTTGGTGGCTTCAAAACTGTGCTGTTGTAGTGTAAAAGTCTCTTTTCAGAGATCCCTCTCAGGGTGTTAAGAGTTTATTCCATGGTGGGAATTGTTACTTCAGTTGTATGTGGGGTTTGATCTTTTTTGGAAGATATTTTGCAGACTAGCTTCAAGGTTTTTTGTTGTTACTATTGTGAGGTGCTCTAGGATTGATAAATGGGATTCTGTTATGAGTGTATTTAGTAGAAGATGTTTACAGACTGCCACTGCAGATCAATTCTCTTAGGACATGTTTCCACCCAAAGATGAAGGTGTTCATGCACTTCTCAGAAGACATACTGTCTTAGTAACACTAAAGGGAGATAAGTGAATTTTAAACATGTATTCCTGTTCTTCCTAGTGAAAGTAAGACAGTCTGACCCACTCTACCATTAGGATGTTTATAGGAGGTATGATATGTCTAGGGATTTGCAACTTTCCTACTTTAAGTTTTATCTTTGTCAATTTGTCTCATTAATGGTTAAACTTTTATGGTTGTATTTTTTTTCAGAAGCTGATGAAGTGTTTTGCAGCAAGACTATGGCAAGGAGGGGTTTCTGTAGCATGGTCTGGGAATGGTGGGAACTCCTAGACACCATCAACATTTGTTTGTAGGCTCCGTCTGCTATTGAGAAAAGGGGTCACCCAGAGGACAGTGCCCTACTGACACTAGAAGAATAGGACTTTACTGATAAATTCAGAATTCTCTTTGTTTTCCAATAACAAAAGGTAAACATTATTTTGATATATTTTCTCTCTCTTCACTTAGCTTTAACCCAAGTCCTATGCAAAGACATACTTTCTGGACACTCATTGTTGGTGGTACTTTCACTTGGCTTGGCATATATGGAGTCAATCAGTCTCAAGTTCAACGATACCTTGCTTGCAAAACAAAAGTTCATGCAAAACTGTAAGTCCACTTAGTGTATACTCATTGACTTTAGTGTATACTCATTGTGAAGGGCTTTGGGGAAATTGTAAAGAAAAAGGAATCTCAGTATGTGTTCATACAGACATTGTAAATAACACATGTGATTGAAAAGAAAGTGGAGATGATTTTTGTGATTAGTAGAATGGGAATGAAAAAGATCATGCAAGGCAGAAAACAGATCCAAATGTGATGTCCCTAGATATACCGTCTCTAACAGCAGACATTGGTTGTGGTCACACGAGCAGTTTGCCGTGGCAGTGTATCGCCTTTAAATAAGCTGCTTGAGTTTGGGACACTTTGCATCAATCACACAGAACTGCCATCATCATAGTGTTGCGGGCCCATGATTGGTCATTCACATCGCTAATGCACCGCAACCACAGACCTGCGGCTGGGTTGGTTGTTTTTTTCTAAGTCCCACTGTGTGCACGCAGAAGCAGACAAGTGCACACGCACTCCTGGCTGTGTTCTAGAGAGCCAGTTTGGTGTAGTGGTTAAATGTGCAGACTCTAATCTGGGAGAACCGGGTTTGATTCCCCACTCCTCCACTTGCACCTGCTGATGTGACCTTGGGTCAGTCACAAGCTCTGGCACAGCTGTTCCTGAAAGAGCAGTTTGTGGCAGAGCTCTCTCAGCCCCACCTACCTCACAGGGTGTCTGTTGTGGGGAGGGGAAGGGAAAGGAGTTTGTAAGCCGCTCTGAGACTCCAAGTGAAGGGTGGGGTATAAATCCAATCTCCTCCTCCTCCTCCTATGGGGGTGCTGAAGCTCCCATCAGAGTGGGGTTGGGGGAAAAAGGACGTGCTGGAAATGGAGTGGAATGATCACACTGCTCATGCGTTTCCATGGTGAGCCCGGGTGATCAGATGGCTGGAAACCCACCATGGAAGCGCTTTGCTGAGGTAGCCACCAGAATTTGCCAGTGGTTATTTAATCTGCGTGGGAGTTGTTTTAGCGTGAGGTAGGGATGAGTGGGGCATGGGAGCCAGATGTGCATGTTTGATTGCACCCATTTTATCTGGAGGGGAAGGGTGATTATGTCAAGCCAAACTGCTCATGTGATCACAGTCTTAGATTTCAAAGGATTCTGATGGGTCAGTTCTTCATGTGTCCCTTCATTGCACTGGCAGCAACTAGTGCTCCTCCATGAATACACTCACCTTCTACACACAGAAAAATAAACATGCAAAACAAAGTTTTCCCCACCCCATGCAAGCGCGTCGAGAGGCTCTCTCTGACTGAGTCCTTTCGGATTCAGCTGAGTTCTGTCTTAAAACCACCCTATATTTATACCAGAGATCAAAGGGATCCCTTAATAATTGGATTGCAGTTAACCTTTGACACTTAGAAGTTAAATTTTGTCTTGTAGGAAATTTGGTTTCTTTCCCTTGGTCTCTCATAACAAGAGGTCACATTCTATAGTATCAATACAGGGTCATTGTTTATTCCAATCATGGGAAATAAATTGATGTTATCAGAAAGGTGAGAGTAGGGGTGCATGTGAACTTTCTGTATCTCAAGAAGCTAGTCTGATGGATTGCCATTTTGCCTTGAAATTTAAGTCTGTCACTCCCCAAATCCTGAGAAATTGATGGTATTGGCCAGTCTCACACCAGTGGTTTTCCTGGGAAATGGAATGTTTTTGCACCCTTGGAATGTTTTTACATCCTTGCATGTGTGACCAAGAAAGAGATTCTTCTGGGAAAAAGGGCCTTGCAAAGACTCATGGGTTCTGATTCAAACAGGCCAAGGCTGTCTGCTGTAATTGCTGGCAAGGACAGGAGAACAGGTCCATGAATTTTATGGACTTATTTGGTTCATTTTAAACCCAAACCCATATTTATGAAAATTCTTTCCACAGAGGGGAAGGGTGATTATGTCAGGCCAAACTGCTCATGTGATCACAGTCTTAGATTTCAAAGGATTCTGATGGGTCAGTTCTTCATGTGTCCCTTCATTGCACTGGCAGCAACTAGTGCTCCTCCATGAATACACTCACCTTCTGGATGAGATTAGGGATAATACCTTGATAGGCTGTTGGCATTTCCCAAAAACCATAATCAAGAGTCAGAACTTGAGAAGGAGTGGTGTGGAGATTTCACACCTTCACATAGAAAGAAGCACCATTATGCAGATAGAGGTTTTTTGTTTGAGTAAAAAATGCTGTTAGGATGCTAAATGTGTTTTGGAAGTTCATGCTTGGAAGGAAAAGATATAAAGTAGGGGGGAAAGGAAAATCAATATAGATTAAATAGATATACATTATAGTACCTAAGGAATGCAATCAAAAATAAATTTAAAAAATAAATAAAAATAAATAAATAAATTACAGTTTCACAGATCTATAATACTTTAATCTTTTTCATATTTTTCTGAATATATACATTGTGGGATCCTTATTTGTGTCCTGGATCCATTATTCTATTCACCTTTTGTGCCTCCAACAGTAGAATCTGATCTTCAGAATTCCTCCAAAATAACTAAGCCTTGCACACCTTGGGAAACTGCAACAAAGTAAATGCTCCCTTGTCCTCATTCAGGGAGGCCACTATCTCCAACTACCAATGGACCCACATGTCTGCATCTGCGGATCACTTACACCAGAGGATTTACCTCATTATATCTTATTCTGTCCATTATACACTAACCCTAAGGTTAAATTTTTAGCAGGAATTCTATCTGCCATAAACACGTATACTGTAGAAGAGAAGACTGTATACCTGCTATCTGATAATGATGCATATGTATCTTATAGAGTCTTTCTGTTTGCCTTTGCAGCAAAGAAGCTAAGATCTGAGAGGGTAGCATTGGGGGTGGTTCCTTGAAACTGTAGTTTATTAAGTTTTAACCTCTTTTAATCTCTTAAGTGTAAATTTCTATATCTTAGTTTTATGGTTATATTTATTAATGTAATTCGTTGTTCTTTTAAACTTGTAATGGCTGATGGCTATATACAATAAACTACTGACTGACTGACCGACTGACCATAATGGAGGAGTTGTCACACAGAGAGTCTGTGCACCAGCCAAGGCTGATTTGACACACCTAAATCAGGTGACATCACATTTTGGTGGATGAATTCAAGTGTCATGTATATAGAACTCATGTGTCCATATGAATGAGGCCCATTGTTCTATCTGGCAAAATTTGCCCTGAGGATGCTTGAACATAAGGAAGAGACCTTGCTTCCATTCTAAAAAGGTCTGCTGGTTTAAGTTTTACACTCATTTTGAGGAAGTAATACACACGCACAAAAATAACTGGTGGTGCATATCACTCAAGAAGGGGAAGGCAGAGGCTAGAGAGGGAGTGCAGAAGAGTATAAAAAATACTTATAGTCGCCATTTAGCTCAGATTCTGAGCTGTGATTCCTTCAGGTAAGGGTTCCAAGCATCTGGCCAGCCAATAATCCAAAAGGGAACCTCTATTACTATACATTTGGGAGAGCTTAAAGTTAGCCAGAAAGGTGTTTCCCAGGGGCAGAGACAAGGGACCAAAGTGAAATCCAGGCATAGATCCAAAGTAGGGGAGAGCAGGAAGGTCCATAGACTCTGCCATGCAGGGCAGAGCTTGGCATAGCAAGAGAGCAGAACTTTGCAGCAAGACAGGGTGAACAGACAGTTTGGGGAAAGATTCTGTTTCAGTTATTGAACAGGATACAAAAGTTTTTTCCCCCCTTGGAACAAGGCAAGAGAATTCAAATAAGCTCTGAGATGCTGTCTGATTAGTAGAGCTGTGGAGAGAGTTCCCAAGCCCTGTTCATATCTAACAAGCTTTTGTCTACTTGTTTGCTTAAACATGGAAAGAAGGCTGTAAAATGCCTTAACACAGGGGTGTCAAACTCATTTGTTAGAAGGGCCGGATCTGACATAAATGGGACTTTGTCGGGCCAGGCCATGTGTGTCATAAAATGTAATGTCAGGTAGTGAAGATATTAACTTTATAAAGGACACCGACAAACACAATTAAAGGTTTTTTAAAACTTAAAACACAAATATTCTTAAAATGTTACTTAAAACAGTAACATTCTCGGCATATTTTATTTAACAGTCTTTGATACTGACACCTCCCAAACCTCCCCCATGCCCTTCAAAGATGCCTACCTAAAATGGAAAGGTGGGGGGATAGTGGGATTTGGCAATGCAATTTTTTAATAAAACATCAAGAAAAAGCACAAGAATCACAGCAGAAACTAAAACAAAAACTAAAAATATAAAGTGCTCTGAGCCTAGGAAAACATGAAATGGCTGGGCATTGCAAGCTCCTCACCCACACCCGGTCTACTCAGAGTGACAGTGGCTCTCCAGTGTAATGTCCCACTTTGGCTGTGGGTTCCCAGGTTAGAGTACTCACTGAGGCACCTGTTCTCAGGTCCATGCAGCAGAGACAAACTGGCTCAAAACATCAGCCCTTTATTTGCAAGGAGACAACTTCAACTGGCATACAGACACTGGAAAATGAAACTCCACTCCATTGAAATACATTGCTGCTCAAAAAAAGTTGCAAAGAAAATGCGGAACGGATTTTCCATTAAGGTTTCTGGACCCAGATACACTACTCTGGGACTGGAATGACAGCTCCCAGAGCAGAAGTCCATTCTCAGAACGCAGCTGCTACTCCCAGGCAATGCTCCCTCTAAGCTGTGGAGTCCTGTGAGCAAAAATTCTACTTTGTGAGCTACCGACATTAAAGTTGTGAGCAAGCGATTGGGTTACTGCATAAATTAGTCTGCTCCAGAGCCATCCTTCCTGAGCCAAGATAAAAATGTGTGAGCCAGAGGCTAAAAAACTGTGAGCTAGCTCACACTAACTCAGCTTAGAGGGAACACTGTTCCCAGGGACCATCATTCCACTCTCGGGGCTGTCATTCCAGTCCCAGAGCAGTCTGTCTGGGCCCAGAGACCTGAAAGAAAAATCCATTCCACATTTTCTTTGCAACTTTTTTTTGTGCTTTAGCCCAGAGGAGCTTCCTGCCTGAGTA